TATTTTTTTAAAAAGATAAGAAACAGAAGCAAACTCACATAGGTTTATGTTCGCAGGAGCCCCGACTGAGTGTAGAGCGCCAGCTCCATCCCCTATTCCACCATTTCCGGCTTCCTCAGTTGAGAGAGAGAGAGAGAGAGAGAGAGAAAGAGAGAGAGAGAGAGAGAGAGAGAGAGTGTGTGTGTGTGTGTGTGTGTGTGTGTGTGTGGTGCTGCCTTTGCTTTGCATGCTTCTGTATTACTGGACTTGGCACAGCAAGAATGCATCATTACACTTAAAAAAATTTAGAGTTTCCTTTTTGGTTTTTTAAATTATTTTAGATTTGGAGGTACATGTGTGGGTTCGCTACATGTATATTGTGCACTTCTGAAGTTAAAAAAAGTTATGGGTTAAATGAGAGGATGGGGGGTGAGAAAGTAGATAAGAGCTTTGGTGTGACAAGGCAGGAGGTGGAGGGTGGCGGGAGAGGCGTGAGTGAGCGCAGGGACCTTCTGCAGGTGAGAGGATAACTGCTGATGGGGCTGCTTCATGCATTTTATGTTTTGTAATTTATTAAAAACAAATTGGGACGGGGTTTCGCCCTGTTACCCAGGCTGGTCTTGTCTTGAACTTCTAAGCTCCAGTGATCTTCCTGCCTCAGCCTCCCAAAGTATTGGGATGACAGGTGTGAGCCGCGGTGACTGGCCTTTTTTATTTGTTTTTGAGACACGGTCTCCCTCTGTTGCCCAGGCTGGAGTGTAGTGGTGTGATCATGGCTCACTTCACTGCAGCCTCAATCTTCCAGGCTCAAGCAGTCCTCCCACCTCAGTGTCCTAAGTAGCAGGAACTGCTAGCATGCACCACCACACCCCACTAGCTTTTGTATTTTTTTTGTAGAGATGGGGTCTTGCTGTGTTGCCCAGGCTGGTCTCAAACTCTGGGCTCAAGCAATCGGCCCACCTTGGCCTCCCAAAGTGCTGGGATTATAGGTATGGGCTGCTGCACCCAGCCTGCTTTATGTTTTTATACGGACCAGTACTTTGCAAGTGTGAGCCTGGCAGGCTCTTGGTGCCACCAGGAACATGCAAATTTTCCAGACAGGCAGGAACCTGGGTTCCTTTCTGAGCCTCCAATGTCCTGGGTGAAGACTCCAAGTTCTGGAGAGACTGACCAACTCACCCAAGGCCCAGTGGCTGTGAGCTGCAAGCCAGGACTCCTCAAAGCACCAGCCTCTCCCATGCACACTGGCCTATCTGCAGAGCCCGTCAAGCTCAGGGGAACGCCACCACTGAACCAGAGAGACAGCAGGAGGATGTGGTCTAGACAGAGACATCTGGAGAAAGCAGCTGATTCCAGAAATTGCCTGCTTGGCTCGCATTAGGGCACGCTGGGGACTGACTGCCCCTTGCCCAGTGGGTGCTGGGCATTCGGGCTTGGGGTCTTTCAGGTCAGCCCTAAAAGCTGATGACCTGATGCGGAACGCTGCTGCTTACTTCAACTTTCCTTCTGGTTCAAAGCCTTCATTAGTTGGGGTTGCTGCCACTTGTATGCCCATTGGCATTTTTTTTTTTTCAGAATGAGGAGCAGAGTAGGTAGGCTTTGGAGGATTGGCTAAACCCAAAGAATTTAACTGGTCCTGTATTTGGCCACTGCTGTGGCCTTATAGACCTTGGAGTTTGGGCTTGCACCTGTATTTAGCAGGCGCACAAACCCACATAAACTGAAGAATAAATAACCACAAGGCCTGAGAGAACGTGCTCTCCTGCTGCACGTGGGCGCTCACCTGTGACAAATGGAGTAACAGGTACCAGGGGGCGACCAGGAAGCCTTAATCAATGGTGGTAATAGCCACCGATGCATCATCTGTGGAGGCGTCACAAGGGACGGCTGGGGCAGAATCAACAGAACGTGAAAATGAATTGTTTGTAAATGCAATCAACACTTCTGTGTTCGTGAGAAAGCCATTCATCATTCAGAAACCATCTTTAGTAAAAGATGCACCTGGCTTCCTGGTGAGACGGCCCATCAATCCTACCCCCGTCACAGCTCAGGGGTGCCTAAAGCCCCAGAGAACAGACATGCGTATTTATTCTTATTTGAAGACAAGTTGAGAGTCATTAAAAAGAAAGAGCCACTGAGAACATTAGCTTGCAGGGAGCATGGTAGAAGCCACATGGGGACAGTGAGAGCTCTTTAAAGCCCTCTTCTTCAGGGTGCCCTGCCAGGCCCTGGTGGTGGGGCCTCTGTAAGCAAGGAGCACCCAGCTTGCTCTGGGACCTTCCCAGGCTGTGTGTGCTCCTGTCCCTCCAGGACACTGAGGTGCTGAGTGTGCGCTTGGGGAGGGAGAGAGACGTCCATGCTTGGCCGCTGGCCTCTGGGGAACTGCTCTTTTCTGGCAAATACAGGGAAAAGGATATGGGGAAGGGGAACAAATTATTGTCCTAAATGGGGCAGAATCGCCTGGCATGGGCTTTCTTCTGGTTGTCAGTTTCATCTTTAGGACAGTGCCTTGGTGAGGGTGCCCCAGGTGCAGTGCGCTGGGTGTCGGCAGTGGGCACTTACTGGGCACTGATCCTGGCAGCTGGACGCAACTGCGGCGTGTTTTATACAACTGAAGCCATCCATGGCCTTCTGCGGTCCAGCCTGGCATGGAGGGAGCACCGCCATGGAGCAGTGAAACTGGAGTGTCAGGGTTACTGGTGGGTTCCACGTGGGCAGTGGGCAGAAGGGGTGTAGAGGCTCAGACGCGAATTTGGCCTTGGCAGCTCAGAGAAGGGTGGTGTGACCAGCAGATGGGGATGGTTTGGGAGCAAGAGGCTTCAGCAGACAGATCCTTGGGTTAGGGATGCTAGGCTGGGGCTTGTCAGGGGAGACGTCCTGAAGGCTGCCGAGTCTTGAGCTCAGGGGCCAGGCTGGAGGCCGAGGTCCACGCTGGAGACCTTTGCTATACAGCTGCGGGGACAGAGTGCCAGGATAGTTCACGATAGTGGGCCCAAGGAGGAGGGCAGCAGAAACAGGGCTGCGTGGCCCCCCAGGAACGAATCAGTTCCAAAGGAAGCCAGTGACCAGTGCATGGACCATCCATTGCCACTGACAGCAGGACTGCCCAGTGTGGAGGAGGCTGGTGGACACTCTGATGTAAGTGGTCTCAGTGGGATGGGAGAGTGAGACTTTTTCTTTCCGAGAAGGCTGTCTCACTCTGTTGCCCAGGCTGCAGTGCAGTGGTGTGATCACCGCTCACTGTAGTCTTGAACTCTTGGTCTGAAGCAATCCTCCTGCCTCAGCCTCCCAAGCAGCTGGGATTACAGGCATGTGCCACCATGTCTGGCTAATTTTTATATTTTTTGTAGAGACAGGGTCTCCCCATATTGCCCAGGTGGGTCTGGAACTCCTGGGCTCAAGTGATCTGCCTGCCTGGAACTCCTGGGCTCAAGTGATCCGCCTGCCTCATGCAAGTGTTGAGATTACAGGTGTGAACCATTGTGCCCAGCCAGAGCATGAGAGTGCTTTAATGAGGATCAACGTGCATGAGAGGAGCAGAGATGGACACAGGGAGTGAGGACACCTGAATTCCGAGGCAGATGCAGTACTGGTTGTGGGGCCAGGGGAGGGCTGACGGGTGGCTGGCCTTTAACAGGGCATGAAGAGTTCCACCACAGTAACAGGAGCGAAGATGGAGGGGAGTAGCGGTGGGGTGGGGGCACAGGTGGGACATGCCATGCTGGGAGTGTGGGGTACCTCTGCAGATTGTCTTCATGTGTCAGTGACACAGGAAGCAAGGCCTCTGCCCACAGTGGCCAGGGAGGGGAAGCAGGCAGGACGGGCTGAGGACAGGGTCCAGGGCCCAGCCGAGGTACATGGACACTCAGGAGGCTGAAGGCGGGGCTGGACCAGGGCTTTCAGGGAAGGAGAGGGGCAAGGGCTAGTACCAGGGTCGCTCGGATGAGGACTGTATCTCACTGAAGTCTTCTGACACGTACAAGAAAAAAGTTCTTTTTTTAAAAAATTTTAATTTAATTTTGAGATGGAGTCTTGCTTTGTTGTCCAGACTGGAGTGCAGTGTCATGATCTCAGCTCACTGCAACCTCTGCCTCCCAGGCTCAAGAGATTCTCCTGCCTCAACCTCCCAAGTAGCTGGGGTTACAGGTGCCCGCCACCACGCCTGGCTAATTCTTGTATTTTTAGTAGAGATGGGGTTTCACCATGTTGCCCAGGCTAGCCTTGAACTCCTGGCCTCTAGTGAGCTACCTGCCTCGGCCTCCCAAAATGCTGGGATTACAGGCATGAACCACCAATCCTGGCCAAGAAAAAAGTTCCAAATTCCAAGGACTGTTAATCATTTGAACCTAATCTAGATTCATTCTGAATGGAGTCTCTCATGTCACTACTGAATACCTTGTCAGACATTTTTGGATACAATTTATATTTTTTGAGCCCTTCCCAGACAGTCAATGGACACCAAGGCTTTTACCCCAAATCTGAGACCACCTAGCAGAGCTACCCTCGAAAATATACATCATCAGAAAATATGGATCATCTATTTACAAAGCAAAAGAGGGGCATTATTCAGTGGAACCAAAGCCGCCTTCTCTCTGAAAACCTGTTTCTATTTTCCACGTGTGACTAATTTTTAATCTCAGTGACTGAGCGGTAATGGTGTTCGCACTGACGGTGACGGTGGGCTTTTTAAGAAGCACATGATCTATGTCGCCTTCATGGTGTCCTTTTTTGGTTAGTGTTTCTGTAGCGTTCTGAATAAAATGAGTTCAGCGTCGGTGGCTCTAGAAACCCCAGCGCCACCGTAGATGAGAGGCCATCTGTATGCGAAGCTTCTGCAGTGCCTGCTCCATAGAGGGCCACCTGGCCTGGCCATCATTCACCTCAACAGGAAAACAGCTCTCTGCCTGAGTTCATTTGTTAAGAAGCCTGTAAAATGGCATCTTTAATAACCTCAAACAAATACACTAAAACTTATCATAAAATAGCGAGGTTGTAAAGTGAAGGAGTGTGTTTGTCGTAAGCTCCTCTGTCTTCCCCAAGTGGGCGTTTTCCAGGCAGTTCTCCTTCCTGCGATGGGGCTTTAGGGTCAGAAGACAGTGCCACTCACCCAACGTGGAAGCCTGGGCACCATCCTCAACTTGCTCATTCTCATTTCCACACTCTACTAATGATCAGACACCTCCCCTCAACCTCTGCAGGCCGCCCTTTAGGCTCCTGCTGTCTCTGGCCTGACCAAGCCCTGTTTCCTCCTGCTCTGCCAGCAGTGTGCCCGCTGGTGCCCTCATCTCTCCACAATGCACACAGGATCATGTGCGGGTGGTGCTCCACGGTGTCCACACCATCGTGCCCACACCCGAGGCCCTTCCCCAGCCCCAGCACCCACACAGCACACACACAGTGCGGCTGACGCTCGGCACCCTGCCTTTCCCACACACTCCAACGCCCCCCCTCCCCCGCACCTGTAACTTCCTGAGGGATTTCCTCAGTGCTGGCCTGTGCCCAGGCCTGCTGGAAGTGCAGTTCAGGGGCCGCGGCACTCACCTGCTCCCCAACACGTCTACTCCCTGCTCCCTTACCGTGCTTCCTGGGTCCACCTCTCTGATAAAATACCTGCAGGAAGGGCCTGTCTGGAGGGAGCCGTGCTCCACGCTGGCCATCCGCGGCCACTCGCTGTGCCCTTGTCCACACAGCTCCCTCTCGGCCTGAGGGCCTTTGTCCATTCTGCTACTGTGGCCACATCCGCTCAATTTTCCAGACTCAGTTTCTCCCACGTCACCCCAGACCCCGATGTAGTGTGTCCTGCACCCCACCGGTATGGCCTGGCAGCCCTTCTCCCAGGCACGACATTCAGGCTGAGTGGAGACTCTCGCAAGCAATATGCAGGCCACTAGGCAGATGCCACCTGGTGACAGCTCGCACCTCAGGCCTTGCTCCGTGAACCTTTCTCAAAATACGATCCTGTTTATCTTGAGAATCGCAAAAGTCCTGCAGGGTCTGGCGAGGCTCCACCACAGCACAGCGGCCCAGGAGCACCCCTCCAGGTCGGCCGCCTCTCACCCACCTCCTGAGTGCCCGCTGGCACTGTGGCCCGCAGAGCGCACGAGTGCAGAGCCCAGCTGAGCGCGGCCACCAGACGCCCCACGTGGCCACCACGTGGCCTTTCCTGCGCCTGCCCCCCTTCCCGGCAGCACCTGCGGCGTCAAGGCCTGGCACGTGGCGGGGGCTGCGCATGCGCAGGCCCGAGGCCCTTCCTGGCATCTCCGAGCAGACCTGGGGGAAGCAGGGTCGGTGGAGCTGCGGTGGAGTGGCTCCGGGTGGAGTGGCTCCGCGGTGGAGTGGCTCCGCGGTGGAGTGGAGTGGCTCCGCGGTGGAGTGGAGTGGCTCCGCGGTGGAGTGGAGTGGCTCCGCGGTGGAGTGGCTCCGCGGTGGAGTGGCTCCGCGGTGGAGTGGCTCCGCGGTGGGCCCTGGAGGAGCTGCAGAGGAGGTGGGACTCGGCCTAAGGGCGCGGGGCCGCCGGGAGGGAGGGGTCAGGCCGTGCCCTCAGTGGCGCTCTTCCTGTGGGCGACCCGGGTCGCGCTCTTGGTCACGACCGTCAGGTCCCCCGCGGCTCCCCCGTGCACCTCCCGCTCCGCACACCACGCCACCAACGTGTCCCCTCCGTGTTCCTCCTCCGTGCGCTCAGTGCTGCGTCCACCTCCCTGGGCTCTCCTTTGGTGTCCCCCCCTGCAGACACCCTCATCCTCTTCCCCGTTCGTTTACCTCCCCCTTACGCCCCCCCCCGGCGTCCTCTCCCCTCGCCGCCCCCCCCTTGGCGTCCTCTTCCCTCGCTGCCCCCCCCCTTGGCGTCCTCTCCCCTCGCTGCCCCACCCCAGTCACTTTACCTCCCCCTTACGGCCCCCCCCTTGACGTCCTCTCCCCTCGCTGCCCCACCCCCGTCACTTCCCTGGCCCCTGACTTTCTGCTTGGGCCCTGCACCTGACCAGCCGTGCCACTCTGGCTGCCCAGGAAGAGGGCCTGGAAATGGCCGTGGCTCATAGTATCCGGCTCTGTCCCCTGCCCCAGAGGGACTGCTTTGGATGCCCTTGCCCCAGGGCCTTGCCTCATGGAGCTGGCCTTTTCCCTGCCCTTACGGGCTGTGCCCGGCCTCCCTTGTCCGGGATCACCTTGCTTGCGGCCGCCTCAGCGCCTCCAGTTTGCAGCTGTTTTTCTTTTCCTTTTGGTCTGAAGCGTCTAAAGCGGTAACTTCCCAGCTGAAACCCGTGAACTGGCTATTTTAGTGGGAGTCTCTATGCAGCCTTCAAAATATTCTACTTAAGGGCCAGTGCAGTGCCTCACACCTGTAATCCCAGCACTTTGGGAGGGTGAGGCAGGAGGATCGTGTGAGCTTAGGGTTTGAGACCAGCCTGGACAACATAGTGAGACCCCGTCTCTAAAAAAAAAAAAAAAAAAATGTTTTACTTAGGCTGGGCGTGGTGGCTCACGCCTGTAATCCCAGCAGTTTGGGAGGCCGGGCGGATCATGAGGTCAGGAGATCGAGACCATCCTGGCCATAGTAAAACCCTTCTCTTAAAAAAAAAAAAAAAAAAAAAAAAGCTTAATAGTGATTTAAAAAATGTGAACATGATGGCATATAAGACCTGGGAAGGGCCAGTTGTGGTGGCTCACGCCTATAAATCTCAGCACTTTGGGAGGCTGAGGTGGGCGAATCCCTTATCAAGAGATTGAGACCATCCTGGCCGACATGGTGAAACCGCCGTCTCTACTAAAAATACAAAAAATTAGCTGGGTGTGGTGGTGGGTGCCTGTAGTCCCAGCTACTTGGGAGTCTGAGGCAGGAGAATCACTTGAACCTGGGAGGTGGAGGTTGCAGGGAGCTGAGATCGCACCCCTGCACTCCAGCCTGCCGATATAGTGAGACTCCCATGTCAAAAAAAAAAAGACCTGGGAAGATGCTTGGCAGCGGCTACCGGAAACTTTCCAGAGAGCCTGGCTGTGTAGCAGTGGTGTCAGGACAATCACCATCCATCGGTGGGTGGAGCCAACAGAGGCCTCTCCTGCCCTCTCGGCTGCGGCCGTGGTTTCCGTGTCACTCCACCCATGAGTACAGCAGTGTCCCTGCTGCCTGGGTCCAGGCTCACCTCTGTGGAATGGTCCCGCTGCGCTCCCCAGGGCCTCAGGGACGTGTGTGTTTTCTTGCAGTTGGGGACGCCCGGTTGCAGATAGGCGATGGGAGATGGTCAGGGGCCTGATTTGAAGCCATTCCTAGCGGCACTAAAGTTGCCCTAGAGAGGTGACAATACTTTTGGGAAGCAGCGGCCTTTGCCTGTTTGTGATGATGGATATTGTTGCTGGGGGTGCGTTACCTGCTGGCCCGATTTTGTGACATTCAGGTCTAACCTCATCACGACACCAGTAGAGGGGGGTTGGGAGGAGCCCTCTGCACCGCAGGTGGTGTGTGAACAGGAGCCTAGATGGGAACCAAGGAGGACTGGAAGGGGTGTGAGGTCACTGCCCTCCTGTGAGGTCGATGTTTCTTCCTGTCACAAACATCATTTTGGCATTGGTGATGCCTGTTTCTTCCTTGGAGTTCCAGGAACGTATTTCTTTGATTAAAGGAAGAGAGAGGTCTGGCAGATAAAGCTGGAAGACGCAAAGAAGCACAAAGTGAAGAAGCCAAACAGAAAAATCAGGGAAGATGGTGAAGACAAGGGAACGTTTTATTTACCACTAATGCTTCATTTTAATTTAGTTATATTATTAATTTTTATTTACAGACAGAGTCTTGCTGTGTCACCCAGGCTGGAGTGCAATGGTGTGATCTCGGCTCACTGCAATGTCCGTCTCCCAGGTTCAAGTGATTCTTCTGCCTCAGCTCCCGAGTAGCTGGGGCTACAGGCACGTGCCAGCACGCCCGGCTAATTTCTGTATTTTGAGTACAGATGGGGTTTTACCATATGGGCCAGGCTGGTCTTGAACTCCTGACCTCGTGATCTGCCTACCTTGGCCTCCCAAAGTGCTGGGATTATAAGTGTGAGCCACTGCACCCGACATTTTTTTTCTTTTTTGTTTTTTGAACTGGAGTTTCTTGTCACCCAGGCTGGAATGCAGTAGCACAATCTTGGCTCACTGCAACCCCTGTCTCTTGGGTTCTGGGGATTCTCCAGCCTCAGCCTCCTGAGTAGCCGGGGCTGTAGTCATGCACCACCACACCCGGCTAATTTTGTAGTTTTAGTAGATATGGGGTTTTACCATGTTGGCCAGGCTGGTCTAGAACTCCTGACCTCAGGTGATCCGCCCACCTCAGCCTCCTGAAGTGCTGGGATTACAGGCGTGAGCTACCTCGCTCGGCCTAATGCTTTTAATTTTTCTAGAAACAGGGTCTCACTTTGTTGCTCTGATCTTGAACTCCTTGCCCCACGAAGTCCCTGCCTCAGTATCCAAAGTGCTCAGATTACAGGCGTGAGCCACACCTGGCCTTCGTGTTTCATTTTTATTTTATCATTTTCTTGTTAATCTGCTTTTATGCTGCATACCAAATGTTTCGTTTTTAAATTCACTGTATTTAATATGTTCAATATGTTGTGTTCTTAATTTTTGTTTCTACTCATGCACTTTTTTTTTGAGACAGAGTCTTGCTTTATTGCCCAGGCTGGAGTGCGGTGGTGATCATAGCTCACTGCAGCCTCAACCTCTTGGGCCCAAGTGATCCTCCCACGTCAGCCTCCTGAGTAGCTGGACTACTGGCATGTACCACCACACCCAGCTAATTCTTCTTTTTTTTGGTAGAGATGGGATCTCCCTATGTTGTCCAGGCTGGTCTAGATCTCCTAGGCTCAGTCCTCCCGCCTCAGCCTCCCAGAGTGCTGGGATTACAAGTGTGAGCCACTGCACTCAGCCTCGTGAACCTTTTAAATGAGTTAAATGAATATTTTACAAGTATCAAAAGCTTTTTTGATCATTTACTTAGATAAATTAAAAAGCATGTACTTCGTGTTCACGCAAGGCGCATTTATGCCGCATTTCAGGAGGGTTGCATCTGCTGCCAGCACGCTGCCTGTGTCATGTGTGGGGTGTAAAAGGAGCCGGTGTTAGGTGTGGGGACCGCACGCTCGTCCATCCTGGGAGGGTCAGTTACCAGTTCCCTGGAATCCCTTGATGGCTGCTGCCAGACTTTGGCTGAACTGTAAGGGCAGCAGCCTCGGGTCGGGAGCGAGTGGCCTGGACCTGGCCGGCTCCTGTCCTGAGAGTTGTGTCTGTCTGCCCTCTGGCCCATGCAGGATGCTGTGGTGGGGTTCATTCTAGTGTTTTCACAGAAGTTCTGTTTATTGTGACATTTCGCAGAAATGTCCTCAGTGGAACCTTGTTTTCTTGTGACTTACAGCAGTGCTTGAAAGAAGAAAATAAATTCTCCATTTCAAAAGAAAATCCAGGACTGGACAGCCTTACTGTCAGGTAAGGTTTGTTCTCTCTATCCCTTTTCTTTGTAGTGGGAGGTGAAACGGGGTGGCAAGGGAATGGGGGGAGCGAGGGCACGGGGTGAGATCAGCCTTCGTCCCGAGAGCCTGGCCTTTGCAGCGGAGCTGGGACCTGCCTCCCTGTTCTTTTCCCAGGCTTTGCTTCCACTGGAGCAGACTTAGAATCCACAGGACGGCAGAACAGGTTGGTAACATGAGCCGCCTCTGACGGGTGCAGAAATCTGGCTTTTGCACATTTGTGTGGGGGCCCACATGTAACAAGGGGGTCTGGCATCTCCCTCGTGCCAGGGGTCCTTTTCGTTGGTTTTTGTTTTAGATAAATGATCTTGTCAGATTGCTACTGTGGTAACCATCAGTTGAAAAAGATGATTATATCTTTTTCAAAGACTAGAACCAAAAAATCTTGAAAAGGCATTAGGCCTGCCGCCGTTACCCACTTTCTCTGCCTCTGCCCTCTCCTCTGATGCTCACTTCTGTCAGAGAATCATGTAAATAGTTTTCTGTGTGCAGAACAGCAAAGAAAAAAAGCCTGATGGAACAATAGTTAGGTTTTGCTTTTGAGAAATGTGTTATCTCCATGGGTTGATGGCAGGCTGTGTGTATCCGTTTGGTAGGACGAATCAGTTTGAGCTAATTGTGTCCTTTTAAAAAAGGTTTCTGTAGATGAACTAAGCACCTGGTCTTGGAATGCAGGAGCTGTTTAATGTGCTGTTTTCTCTGCATCATGTCAGATTGTGTGTGCTGGTTTCTGGTGCCTGCTCTCTGGTGAGGAGCTGGGCCGCCCCGGTTGTGTCTGCCGCATGCCGCTTCGGCGCTCTGCTGCCATCCCAGTTGTGCTGAGAGCTGGAAATGTAATTCTTTTTTTTCTTGAGATGGAGTCTCACACAGTTGCCCAGGCTGTAGCGCAGTGGCAAGACCTCTGCTCACTGCACCCTCCGCCTCCTGAGTTCAAGCAATTCTCCTGCCTCAGCCTCCCAAGTAGCTGGGACTACAGGTGTGTGCCACCACGCCCCGCTAATTTTTCTGTATTTTTAGTAGAGATGGGGTTTCACCATGTTGGCCAGGATGGTCTTGATCTCCTGACCTTGTGATCTGCCGGCCTCGGCCTCCCAAAACGCTGGGATTCCGGTCCCCGGCAGGGAATGTAATTCTAAGTAGGCAGGCGGCGCCCAGGCCACACCTTCCAGGATGCTGAGTCTGTTCAAGTGAGGGCAGAAATGGAGATTTTTGTGGTGAAATATCCCAAGTGTTAAGTGTTGCTGTGACTTTACTGAACTGCTTGGCTGTTTTCTGTGCATCACGTTCCTTTTTCTCTTTTCTTTTTTTGTCTTTTTCATATTTTGTCACATTTTTGTCTTTCCATAAATGCGGTCTGACCACGTGGTAACCCGGAACTCGCTCTGGACCTGTCCTGGTTCTGGGAGCTGCCCAGCTCTCGGATTGTTTGCTCAGTTAAACGCTGTTAAATTGAATTTGTCTGAAGTTTTTCTTTTAACGCTCCCATTCTCTGTTCCCCCAGCTCCTGGCAACCACTGATGTGCTTTCTATTTCCATGGATTTGCTTATTCTGGATATTTTCTGTAAACAGAATCCTACAGTGTTTTTCCTTTGTGCCTGGTTTCTTTCGTGTCACCTGTTATCCACATCCATCCCCGTGTGCCAAGTATAACGCTTCATTCCTTCTTACAGCTGACAATGCTCTGTGGCGTGTGCACGCTGTGCTTTGCTGATCCGCTCGCCTGTTGCTGTACCCTTTGGCTATTGTGAGTAACGCTGCTATGAGTATTGCTTTACCTGTATCTGTTGAATACCTCTTTGCAGTGCTTCCGGGTACATAGCTACAAGTGGAATTTCTGGCTCCTATGGTAATTTCATGTTTAATTTATCGAAGACCAACAAACTTTTTTTTGTTTCTTTGTTTGAGACGGAGTCTCACTCTGTCACCCAGGCTGGAGTGCAGTGGTAAGATCTCAGCTCACTACAACCTCCGCCTCCCAGGTTCAAGCGGCCCTCCTGCTTTAGCCTCCCGAGTAGCTGGGGTTACAAGTGCCCGCCACCATCCCTTGCTAACTTTTGTCTTTTTACTAGAGATGGGCTTTCATCATGTTGGTCAGGCTGGTCTCGAACTCCTAACCTCAAATGATGCCAAAGTGCTGGGAGTAAAGGCATGAGTCACCGTGGCCACCCCCAGAAAATGTTTTTAAAGCAGTATTACCTTTTACATTCTCACCAGCGTTGTACAAGGAGTCCAGTTTTTACATGTTCTTGCCGACGCTTACTCTGTCTTTTTCATTATGGCTGACTTTTGTGCTTCAAGCCGTCCTCCTTACTTTGTCTTTTCAAAGTGCTGAGATTACACCGTTGTTGAAGTCAGCTGCCCACAGTTGTGTGGGTTTGTTTCCGGACTCCAAGTGGACCCTCCATCTCCGTGTGTGTCCTTACAGCAGTGCCCCTCTGTCTTCGTCCGTGGTGGATGTGAAGTGGGAACTCACTGTGGGTTTAATTTCCCTAGTGGTTAGTGATACTAAGCATCTTTTTATGTGTTTTATTGGCCATTTGTATCTCAGCTTTGGAGAAATGTTTATTTACATTCTTTACCTTTTTTTTCTTTGAAGAGACAGGGTCCCACTTTGTTGCCCAGGCTGGAGTGCAGAGACACCATCATAGCTCACTGCAACTTCGAACTCCTGGGCTCAAGTCATCCTTCCACTTCAGCCTCCTGAGTAGCTGGGAATACAGGTGTGCGTCTTTTTTAATTTTTTGTAGAGATGGGGTCTCACTGTCTTGCCCAGGCTGGTCTCAGACTCCTGGGCTCAAGTTATCCTCCCACTTTGGCTTCTCAAAGTGCTGGGATTACAGGTGTGAGCCGCCCTGCCTGGCCCTTTACCTGGTTTTATTGGGTTATTTGTTTTTTGTTGAGTTGTAAGAGTTTTTTGTATATTCCGGAGACTAGACCCCTATCTGTGGGTTGTCTTTTTGTTTTCCTGATGGTGTCGTTTGAAACACGAAAGTTGTCGGTTGATCTGTTTTACCTGAGTTCAATTTCTGTGTTTTATCTTCGGTTGTTTGTGCTTTTCCTGAGCTTGTTTTTTAAAAGCACTATCTGCCTGTGATTCCAGCACTTTGGGAGGCTGAGGCAGGAGGATCACTTGAGGACAGGCGGTTGAGACCAGGCTGGGCATCAAAGTCAGACCTTGACTCTACAAAAAGTTTAAAAATCAGCCAGGCATTGTGGTGAGCACCTGTGGTCGCAGCCGTGGTAAGCTGGAAGGATTGCTTGAGCCCAGGAGTTGAAGGCTGCAGTGAGCTGTGGTCGTGCCACTTTGCGGCAGCCTGCGTGACAGAGTGAGACCCGGCCTCAACAAACCCACCCCAGAAACCGTGATCTAATTCAGGGTCATAAAGATGTATACCTGTGTGTTTTTTTTTAAGAGTTTTATAGCTTTGGCTCTTACACTTGGTCCACTTTGAGCTAATGTTCCGTGTGGTGTGAGCAAGAGGTCTACTTTCATTCTGTGCCTGTGGATAGTCAGCACCCCTTGCCGAAAAGCCTGTTCTTTCCCCGTTGAGTGGTCTGACGCCCTTGTTGAAGTCAGTTGTCCACAGGTGTGTGGGTTTATTTCCGGACTCCGAGTGGACCTTCTAGTCTCCATGCGGTCCTTATGACAGTGTCCCACTGTCTCCGTCACTGTAGCTCTGAAGTTTAGAAATCAGGAAGTATGAATCCTCTAACTTTGTTCTTCTTTTGTTAAGATTATTTTGACCCTGGATCAAACAATATAGGTCCCTTGTATTTCCCTGTGAATTTTAGGATCAGGTTGTCAATTTCTGCAAAAACGCCAGCTGGAATCGTGATGGGGATTGGATTGAGCTTTTCGGGGAGTATTGCTGTCCCAACCACATGAAGTCAGCCAGTCCGTGAGCACAGGATGGCTGTTCATTTATTCAGGCTGCCTTTAATTTCTTTGGCATTGTTTTACAGTTTTCAGAGTATAAGCTTTATATCTCTTTGGTTAAATTTATTGCTCAGTATTTTATTTTTTGATGCTATTGTAAATGGAATTTTTTTTTTTTTTTTTGAGACGGGGTCTCACTCTGTCCCCTACACTGGAGTGCAGTGGCACGATCTTGGCTCACTGCAAGCTCCGCCTTCCAGGCTCAAGTGATTCTCCTGCCTCTGCCTCAGCCTCCTGAGTAGCTGGGATTACAGGCATGCACCACTACTGTCTGGCTAATTTCGGTATTTTTAGTAGAGAGAGCGTTTCACCATGTTAGCCAGGCTGGTCTTGAACTCCTGGCCTGAAATGATCCACCCACCTCGGCCTCCCATAGTGCTGGAATTACAGGCATGAGCCACCACACCCAGCCTTTTAAAATTAATTAATTAATATTATTTTTTTGAGACAGAGTCTCGTTCTGACACCCAGGCTGGAGTGCAGTGGCATGATCTTGGCTCACTGCAACTTCTGCCTCCTGGGTTCAAGTGATTCTCCTGCCTCAGCTTCCTGAGTAGCTGGGACCACAGGTGCCTGCCACCACATCCAGCTAATTTTTGTATTTTTAGTAAAGACAGGGTGTCACCATGTTGGCCGGGATGGTCATGATCTCTTGACCTCGTGATCTGCCTGGGTTGGCTTCCCAAAGTGCTGGGATTACAGGTGTGAGCCACAGCGCCCACCTTTTTTTTTTCCCTAATTTTTTTGAGACAGAGTGTTGCTCTGTCACTCAGACTGGAGTGCAGTGGTGCAATCTTGACTCACTGCAACCTCCACTTCCTGGGTTCAAGCAATTCTCCTGCCTGAGCCTCCCAAGTAGTTGGGATTACAGGTGTGTGCCACCAGGCCTGACTAATTTTTTGTATTTTTAGTAGAGACGGATTTCACCAACTTAGCCAGGATGGGCTCGATCTCCTGAACTTTTAATCCGCCCGCCTCGGCCTCCCAAAGTGCTGAGATTACAGGCGTGAGCCACTGCGCCCAGGCTGGAATTGTTTTCTTAAATTCATTTTCAGTTTGCTTGTATCTGCTGGTTAGAAATATATCTGATGTTTGCGTATTGATCTTATACTCTGCAACTGTGCTAAATTTATCTATTTACTCTAATGGTTTTTGTGGATTCTTTAAGTTTTTTTTTTTTTTTTTTTTTTTTTTTTGAGAGAGAGTCTCACTCTGTCGTCCAGGCTGGAGTGCAGTGGTACAATCTTGGCTCACTACAACCTTTGCCTCCCAGGTTCAAGTGATTCCCCCACCTCAGCCTCCCAAAGAGCTGGGATTACAGGTGTGCGGCACTACGCCCAGCTAATTTTTGTGTTTTTTAAAGTAGAGATGGAGTTCTGCCGTGTTGGCCAGGCTGGTCTCGAACTCCTGACCTCAGGTGTCCACCTGCCTCGGCCTCCCAAAGTGCTGGGATTACAGGCGTGAGCCACTGCACCTGGCCTGGGATTTTCTTTTCTTTCTTTTTTTTTTTGGTGGGGGTTGGGACGGTTGGCGGGGGGACGGAGTTTCGCTCTTGTTACCCAGGCTGGAGTGCAATGGTGCAATCTTGGCTCACCGCAACCTCCGCCTCCTTGATTCAGGCAATTCTCCTGCCTCAGTCTCCAGAGTAGCTGGGATTACAGGAGCGTGCCACCATGCCCTTGATTTTAGTGGGAAGCTTCCTGTCTTTGACCATTGCATATGCAGTCTTTTATTAGGTTAAGGAAGTGTCCTTGTATACCTAGCTGTTTAGTGTTACCTGTAGTTTGAAAAGTCTGTGTGCTTTCTGTGGGTTAACAAAATTTTTGTCGCCCAGGCTGGAGTGCAGTGGCACGATCTCGGCTCAGTGCAACCTCCGCCTCCTGGGTTCAAGTGATTCTCCTGCTTCAGCCTCCTGAGCAGCTGGGACTACAGGTGCGTGCCACCACATCTGGCTAATTTTTTGTATTTTTAGTAGAGACGGGGTTTCACTGAGTTAGCCAGATTGGTCTCAATCTCCTGATCTTGTGATCAGCCTGCCTCGCCTCTCAAAGTGCTGCGATTACAGACGTGAGCCACTGCGCCTGGCTGGGCTAAAAGAATCTTAAGACTAAGACTGGGTGATAGATGCCTGGTGTTAAAGAAGTTGTTTTGTGTGTTTGTTTTAGACAGAGTTTTGCTCTTGTCCTCCAGGCTGGAGTGCAGTGCAGTGACCTGATCTCGGCTCACTGCAACCCCAGCCTCCCAGGTTCAAGTGATTCTCCTGCCTCAGCCTCCCAAGTAGCTGGGATTCCAGGTTTGTGCCACCATGCCCAGCTGATTTTTTTTTTTTTTTGGTACTTTTAGTAGAGATGGGGTTTTGCCATATTGGTCAGGCTGGTCTCAAACTCCTGATGTCAGGGGATCCACCCACCTCGGCCTCCCAAAGTGCTGGGATTACAGGAGTCAGTCCCTGTGCCTGGCCAGGAAGTTTTTATGACACT